AGATGTTAAATTGAGGTCTTGTCTGCCTGTTTAGATGGACATTAAAAATCCCATGGCACAATTAGAAATGAGAAGGGACTTGGACTTGAGAAGCGACTCGAGCAGAGAGCCTAGAGTGAGCTACGTCCGGAGTGAGGCGAGGCCAGAGTGAGAAGGAATTAGGGGAGAGTGGGAATTAGGTGCAGAGGGGGAAGTATATCTTCTAAACAACAATAATACAGGGATAAATAGAGTGAGAGGAGAAAATGACCTGGCAGGTGATGTATGAGGAATGTGGTATGTGGGAGTTGATGGAGGGCAATCTGAGCCTGGGCGACTTCATCTGCAGCAAATGTCTGCAAATGAGGAAGATCCAGCTTAGAATAGCTGAGCTGGAGTCTCAGGTGGAGACACTGCGCAGCATTAGAGATGGGGAGAGTTTCCTGGATAGTTTCATCCTGGAGCCAGACACTCCCAGGGAACATTTCATTGCCAGCCATGGACAGAACTGGGTGATAGTCAGACAGGCGCGTAAGGGGACCCGAAAGAGAGGGGCAGAGGAACCCCAGGCTTTAACCTTGTCCAAAAGGTATGAAATACTTGCAACCTGTGTGGACAAGGAAGTCTGTGAGGAAGATGGGCAAACTTACCCCAACACTTCTATTCAGGAGGCCACACTGGGAATAGTCAGAAGGAATGTAGTGGTAATTGGGGATGAGACAGTCAGGAAGACTGATGCACTTTTCTGCAGCTGTAGCAGGGAGACAAGAAGACTCTGTTGTCTTCCTGGGGCCAGGGTGAAGGACGTCACTTCTGGGCTGGAGAAAAATTTGAAGCAGGAGGGAGTGGATCCAATAGTTATGATTCACATAGGGACCAATGATGTAGGTAGGACAGGTAGGGATGAGTTGACGAGCAAGTTCCGGGAATTGCGAGTTAAGCTAAAGAGTAGAACTTCGAAGGTGTTAATATTGGGATTATTACCTGAGCCAGGGGCAAATTGGTACAGGCAAAAAAAAATTAAAGAACTGAATACCTGGTTAAAAGAATGGTGTGGAGGGCAGGGGTTTCACTTTATAGGCCACTGGCACCAGTATGGGGGGAGACGGGAGCTATTCCAAAGGAATGGACTCCACGTAAACAGGGCTGGACAAATGTCCTGGCAACACGAATAAATAGGGAGGTAGACAGGGCTTTAAACTACTGAGGGGAGGTAAATTCAATCACATGTAATCCGTCACAATTAAAATTAGAATCGATAAAAGTGGGAGAGCAGATTAACCAGGGAGATGAACAAAGTGTGTCAAATGGGGAAAGGAAGCCCAGGGATAGGGTACTGGTGAATAGGACTAATAGCCCAAAGTCAGAATTAAAGGTGCTATATCTGAATGCGCGAAGCATTCGAAACAAGATAGATGAGTTAAATGCACAAATAGAAACAAACGGGTATGATCTGGTAGCCATCACCGAGACATGGTTACAGGGAGATCAAGGGTGGGAGCTAAATATTCCAGGGTATGTGGCGTATAGAAAAGATAGACAATGTGGTAAACGAGGAGAGGGGGGTGGCCCTGCTAATAAAGGATGGGATAAAAACAGTAGAGAGGAAAGATTTTAAATCAGAAAAGCAGGAAGTAGAGTCAGTATGGGTAGAAGTACATAATAACAAGGGGCAGAATACTCAAGTGGGAGTAGTTTATAGACCCTCGAACAGCAGTCACAGTATCTATCAAGGTATAAATCAGGAAATTAGCAGAGCATATAATAAAGGAAAAACATTAATTGTGGGTGATTTTAATCTGCACATAGATTGGGCCAACCAAATTGGGAAAAGTATGATAGAGGAAGAGTTTATAGAATGCATTAGGGATAATTATCTAGATCAGTATGCTGAGGAGCCAACCAGGGAACAAGCCATATTAGACCTTGTTTTGTGCAATGAAGCAGGGCTGATCAGTAAACTGGAAATTAAGGCTCCTCTAGGGCAAAGTGATCATAATATGATGGAGTTTAGCATTAAGTTAGAGAGAGAAGTAGTTAAGTCCGAAGCAAAGGTTTTAAATTTAAGTAGAGCCAATTTTGCTGGTATGAGAGAGGATTTAGCCAAAATAAACTGGGAAATTAGACTTAAGGATTTGACAGTAGACCAGCAATGGCAGACGTTTAAGGAGATAGTGCAAAATTCCCAGCGAGCACGTATTCCTTTGAGGAATAAGAATGCCACGGGAAAGGTGGCCCAACCGTGGCTAACTAGAGCAGTTAGGGAAAGTATAAAGTTAAAGGAAGAAGCCTATAAAACAGCTAAGATGAGTAGTAAACCCGAGGATTGGGAGAACTTTAGGGATCAACAAAGGAGAACCAAAAAAGTGATTAAGAGGGAGAAAATGGAATATGAGGGCAAACTAGCAAGAACATAAAGACAGACTGCAAGAGTTTTTATAAATATATAAAGAGGAAGAGGCTGTCAAAGGTAAATGTGGGTCCGCTACAGGCAGAGACGGGGGAATTATAGTAGGGGACAAAGACATGGCAGAGTCATTAAACAAGTACTTTGCTACTGTCTTCACCTTAGAAGACACTGAAAACCTACCAAGAATAGAGGGGAACCAAGAAGACAATGTTAGCGAGCAACTTGGGGAATTAATATTAGTAAAGAAATGGTTTTAGGTAAATTGTCAGGTCTTAAAACTGATAAATCTCCTGGACCTGATGGCCTACATCCTAGGGTTTTAAAAGAGGTGGCTACTGAGATAGTGGATGGCTTGTCTTTGATCTTCCAAAATTCTCTGGATTCTGGAACGGTTCCCATTGATTGGAAGATTGCAAACGTAACACCACTATTTAAGAAGGGTGGGAGAGAAAAGATGGGGAACTATAGACCAGTTAGTCTGACATCAGTGGTAGGGAAAATTCTTGAGTCCTTAATTAAAGATGTCGTTATGGGATTCCTGGAAGACCATAACAAGATTAGGCAGAGTCAACATGGCTTTACAAAAGGGAAGTCATGCTTAACTAATCTTTTAGAGTTTTTTGAAGATGTATCTAGCAGGTTAGATAGGGGGGAACCAGTAGATGTAGTATATTTAGATCTTAAAAAGGCATTTGGCAAAGTGCCACACAAAAGGCTATTGCACAAGGTTAAGGTCTGCAGGATTAATGGGAACATATTAGCATGGATTGAAGAGTGCCTAACAGGTAGAAAACAGAGAGTAGGGATAAACGGGTCATTCTCGAATTGACAGGATGTGACTAGTGGAGTGCCACAAGGATCAGTGCTTGGGCCTCAGCTATTTACAATTTACATCAATGATCTAGACGAGGCATTGAATGTAACGTATCTACATTTGCGGATGACACTAAACTAGGTGGGGGAGTAAGCTCTGAGGATGATGCGAAAAGATTGCAACGGGATATAGATAGGCTGGGGGAGTGGGCGAGTAGGTGGCAGATGGAATTAAATGTGGGGAAGTGTGAAGTTATTCACCTAGGTAGAAAAAATAGAAAAACAGATTATTTTCTAGAGGGGAGAGATTAGATAGTGTTAGTGTTCAGAGGGATTTGGGTGTCCTTGTACACCAGTCTCAAAAAGTTAGTTTGCAGGTGCAGCAAACAACTAAGAAGGCGAACGGCATGTTAGCGTTCATTGCAAAAGGTTTAGAATATAAGAATAGGGAAATCTTGCTGCAACTGTATAGGGCCTTGAGACCGCACCTAGAGTATTGTGTACAGTTTTGGTCTCCTTATTTAAAAAAGGACATACTTGCCCGAGAGGGAGTGCAGCGTAGATTCACTAGGTTAGTTCCTGGGATGAGGGGACTGACCTATGAGGATAGGCTGAATAAACTAGGGCTATATTCTCTAGAGTGCAGAAGAATTAGGGGAGATCTTATTGAAACATGTAAGATTATTAAAGTAGATTAAAGTGGATAAAGTAGACACTGAGGGTCTGTTTCCCCTGTTAGGAGAATCTATAACCAGGGGTCACAGTCTTAAAATTAAGGGTCAGCCTTTTAGAACAGAGTTGAGGAAACATTTCTTCACTCAGAGGGTGGTGAATTTATGGAATTCACTACCCCAGAAGACGGTAGATGCTCAGTCCTTGAACATCTTCAAGGCTGAGATTGATAGATTTTTTAAAAATAGAGTGATTGGGGTATGGGGATAGGGCAGGTAATTAGAGTTAGGTCAGAAGATCAGCCATGATCTTATCGAATGGCAGGGCAGGCTCGAGGGGCCGAATGGCCTACTCCTGCTCCTAATTCTTATGTTCTTATGTTTCCTGGTGGTGCTAGTCATCCATTCCCCAGATAAAATTGCTCATTCACTTCATGGCTGTTTATGGGTTAAAACAGTGTTCAAATTGGCTATTGCATTCACCTGCAAAAGATGCTTCAGAGTATATGCTGTGAAATTTTTTGAGATATCCTCCTGACTTGAAAGGTGCTGTATCAAATGTAAGATTTTTTTAAATGATATTCTTTTTGCTGCGGAGGAGGTTCAAGGAAACACTTGACAAGAAGCGTTCATGTTGTGTGCACTTGAATATTTTTGCTACCATGTTGCCTTGAGCACATAAACAGATGTACGCTTTTCATTACCAGGAATAAATTGGATGCTAATGTAGTGCTTTTGCTTATAGAAGCCAAGGTGAAACATTAACTCTTCTTACTAAGGTGCAGAGTGGGTTTCTTGCATTGTGAAACATATTTAAGTTTTATTTACTGCTTCTACGATGGCAGAACAAATTTTATATCAACACAGCTACATTAAGTTGGAGAAAGGTTCATTCATCCTTTACAAAAGCTTGAGAATTTTAATTCTGGTCTTTATGCTCTTTGGAGAGTGTTATTTTAAGATAAAAAGATGCCAACGTGCAATATTTTACTCCCAATGTTCAAGCTCTTGGACAGTGTGGCATATATTAATGAACATGAATGGGATTCATAACATGGTTTCTTTTTGCAGAGGCTCTGCAGTCATTACAGAATTTTTTTCATTGATCTCTTGTATTTACCCAACAGGAAGATATGAACCTCAATGAAGCACACAAGGCACCACTGAGAGACAAAGACTTAGCCACTAAACGGGAAATGGTCTTCCAGTACATCTGCACTGCTTCGAAGTCGGTAAGTGAGGCATGAATTTAAATCCAGCACATGTTAATAAACAAATTGTTTGAACACTGGAAATCTCATTTGTTAGACAGATTTATCTGCCTCTTCAGGTGGATGTTAAAGATCCCATTCAACTATTCGAGAAGAGAAAGGAACTTCTCCTGGTGCCCTGCCCAACAATCCCCTCATTAAAATTGCTTTGTGGCTGTTTGCTAATTGGTTGCCACATTTGTCTATAAAATACCCAGTCACAACTTGTTACAGTCAATCCTGTGAGGCATTTTGAATGCCTTCCCAACATGAAAGACACTGTATCAAATGCAAAGATTATTATTCTAAGATTAAGACTTTGGTTCGTGATGCTTTACCTGTGTGGCAACTGCAGTTCAGTGTGTTAGAGCGATAGGAAATGCAAGAGGGTACAGAACCACTCATTCATCTCTCTTGTGTGCAGCAATTTCGAGCCTTCCTTAGATTGCTTTCACAGCCCTCTGCTTAGCCTGCCAAAGGGATATGGGGAAAGAGCAGGGAAACGCAATTGAAAGGATTGTTCCTAAGTGCCAGCACAGACATGATGGGGCTGAATCGCCACCTTCTGTATTGTAAATCTCTGTAGTTCTACGACTTGTGCAGACTCCATTTTCTTCAGCGGATCCTGGTTTGGCTTTTGTGCTGTGAGACGCGTTTCCTCCTTCTCACGTTGGTCGATCCTTTCATACAACATTTCTGCTTCCACCTCATGTTTCCTCATTGAGTTGAGGTTGTCCTTGCTCAGTATACACGTGCTCAGTATATTTGTGCAGTAGCTCTGGCTTTTATTTAGCTGAAATCTTTTCTCCTTCCTTCGGCTGGTAATTTGACTCATTTCCCTGTGCCAAATAGAGTTCTATTTCTTTCTCTGAGTTGAAATGACAGAACGAACATATGCAAAACAACAATAACAACAATAAATTACACTTGTATAATGCCCTTCACGTTGGAAAGTCATCTCACGGTGCTGGACAATCAGGGGGTTTAGACTCGAGTTGGGCTCAGAAGGTGAGGAGGGCAGTCGGGGTGGGAGAGTGGTCGAAGGCACAATCAAACTGTAAGGTCTTCAGATGGGGGTGAGGCGGAGGGTTTGTGGCATAGAGTTCCAGAGTGTGGGGCCAGAGATCCTGAATGCCCGACCACCAATGGTGGGCGGGAAGTGCGGGCGACCTGAAGCAGGCTGGTTGTCTGCCGAGCAGAGGGAGCGGACAGGCTGATATAGGGTTATGAGGTCGGAGAGGTAGGGAGGAGCAAGACCCTGGAGGGGTCTTGAAGGCTTTTGTACTCAATTCTCTGAGGAATGGGGAGCCAGTGAAGTCGGGCAAGAACGTGCCTGATAGGTTCCAGGAGCCTGGTGTGGGAGAGGACACGAGCTGCAGAGTTTTGAATAATCTGCAGCTTGTGGAGGGAAGAGTTGGGAAGTCCAGTGAGCAGGCAGTTGGCGTAGACAGGCAAGGCTATAATGAACGTGTGGATCAGGGTGTCGGCTGCCTGCGGAGAGAGGCAGTGGTGGAGGTTGACAATGTTGCGGGGTGTGGAAAAGTGGATTGGGTCACGGCACAAATGTGGGGTTTGAAGGATAACTGAGGGTCGAAAAGGACACTGAGTTTTCGGATTGACTCGGTGAGGTGAAGAGTGCAGCCATGAATGGTGATAGTGTCAGGGGCTGAGGTGAGGAGGCGCTGCCGGGAGCCAAGCAGGGCCTCTGTCTTGCCAACATTGAGCTGGAGAATGTTCGCTCTCTTCCAGGATTTAATAGAATAATCCTTGCATTTGATTTGATATTAGACAGACAATTTGCCAGGACATCAATGGTCCTGGAGTCAAGGGTGGAGGCGACAAGATAGAGTTGAGTGTCATCCGCGTACATGTGAAAACTGATCCCAAGCTTGTGGATAACATCGTCGAGCGGTATCATGTATAAATTGAAGAGAAATAACATGTATTAACTTCAAGTGTGTCAGCCAAAGCCCGGATGTGGAGCTTGAACCCACAAACTTCTGACTTAGAAGCAAGAGTGCAACCAACTGAGCCAGGCTGATGCACAGGAGACACAGAATGATATGTAGAAGAAGAGGACACAGGTTTAGAGTTGCCAAGGTTGAGGCCAGGATATTGGACTTATTCAAATAACAGTTGGTTGCTGTGATAGCAACACAGGAGGGTGGGTGTCTGGGAAGGATGAGATCAAATGGACCAAACGATTTTCTTTATCCAAACTGATCTTGTGAACCCACAGAAAACTGACTTCAAAGTTAAGACTACATTTAAGAAATTGTGAAATTGCAAACGCTTTGAAATGCTGAGAAAATAGTGTAAGTTTAGACCCAGTTGGAATTTTTCCCTGGCTGTGCCACCGTTAAATTCAGCCAATATTTTTTTTACTGCTTTTGCCAATGACATTTTCATTTCTACTTTGAGCTCCATTATTAAGATTTGTTTCTAAAACCTCTCAAACATAATGAACTGCAGGACAGCAAAGACTTTTTGAATCTGGCCAGTGCTGTTTGATTAGTGGATAGCAAAATGTAATTACGATTGGCAAAGAGACCTTGAGCGACACTTCAAATCTCTTTCTGCAGCTCATACCCCAAAGGAAGGATTGTAAAGCATGTGCTCCCAATCAAGCGAATGTCCCATTTTGCAGATAGAGGAGACGCTTGTCAAGAGTATTTCCATTACTTTCAGGATGTTATTCGCTGCTATCCATTGCTAACACTGCGCTTATTCTTCTGGGAGAAAATGCAAAGCTCTCGACAGTGCTGGTGTTTGGAGTGTGCAGTTATATGCTCACTCTACATTACTTTTTGTTGGGATCAGATAAACCTTGAATGCCCAAAAAGTTTTTTTCTGCTGATGTAGTCTGAATTAAGTCAGTTACACAATTGGCTGTTTAATAACATTACAAATGCTCTGCTGTAAGGTTTGGGACACGAGGGCTTTGAATGGACCATGGACGCATTGACCTAAGCGTGAATTTCCACCAAACATAGCACCAAACAGCTGTACCATTTGAAGAGCGGACTCACATTTGAAGAGCCGACGTGGAGTTCTGTAGCTCAGTGGTTAGAGCATTCGCCTGGCAAGCGAGACACCTGGGTTCAATTCCAGGCAGGGTGAAACCTTGGGCAAGTTTCCTTACTCCACACGCCTAATAATAATCCCTCCAAAAAAACAAAACAATAATAAATTGGTCATTTTCGATCCACGACTGTTTGTGGGACACTGCTGTGTGCAATTGGCTGCTGCTTTTTGCCCACAAATATACAGTCAATTCACTTTACAGCATATTCTGTGAAGCGCTTTGAGACATCTAGAAGACGTGAAAAGCGCTTAGCCCCAAAGAGACCTGTAAAAGTCCAGGATGCTTCTTGTTCATAATGGTTGCAATGAACCTCAGTGAACAAGTGAAAGCATCATCCTCCTCTCGAAATGCAGCCAATTCTTTTAATTGCTCTGAGATCACTACCCCGTGTGAAGTGTGCTACATAAATGCAAGTTGTTGTTGAATATGAATTCTCTTCTAGAAAAATGCTCAGAGTTCTCTTTAGCTTGACCTCTTCAGATTGTTGCAAATACCACTCGTGTTCAATGAGTCACTCATAACCATTTTAGTCATGGTTAATGCCATTTGCTTTAGGAGAGAAATAGAGTTGGATGTCTGTGACTCTAGTAATTTGAGAACATTGAAGTACCCTGCAGGTGTGCAAAGATTTCTGTTCACTTTCTGTCACACTTGAATCCCCCAAAAAGGCTGAGGTTAAGATGTAGCACTCTGCACCACTGTGTGACTGGTTGATTTTACCTTTGTAATGGCTAATTACTTCTGTGCCACCATTTGGTATCTAATAGGTTTCCCTCTGCACGCGGGTTTTGATATATTCCTGACTATGGAAATTTCCAGCACTCCCTCTAAGCTTTGAGGGAGCCGAAGGGTTGTATCTAGTTATTGCCTCAAATCTTCTGTTTGTGTTGGAGTCAGAAGTTTCAATATGTTTGTACTGTTGCAGCAGGGCAAAATTGTAGCCTGTAGTTGTTCAGGAACTCATTGCTAATGCTGTCAATAATTAACACATGTTTTCTCAGCAGACTGTTAAGCCATCCTAATAATTATTGCTATTTCACCAAACTATAAATCTTTGATAACATTGTGCAACGTGTATTATTAATTTATTATCAACACTGGTGATAAAACAATAAAAAAAATGTTGCCATAACATTGGTTGGAGCCATTCTAACATTCTCATTTAAATTGTTAATTTAAAATGGAGAACCATTATCATGTAATGGACATGTACACAGGGGATGGATTAGTGTTTCCATATCCTTTTAGAAGAACGCTACCATTTCAACTGCCTGTATTTTGCCTAATCACTCTATTTGTTTAAAACAATATGATTAGATTTTACTCCAGCAATTCACTTTGTCAGCTCTGGTGAGAAGAGCAATTTGTTGCACTCTGGTGCTAAAAAATAGATTGTAGTTGGCAGTGGCAATTGAAAGTTTGTGTTGCTGTGTCAATATTGAAATGAACCTTTGCAGCACTGCTAAAATCTGTCTGGTGCCCTGGGAAAAAGTGACTGTAATCACCAGTGAGTGCTGAAGTGGTTTATACCATCCAGGCTGAGAGAAAGTCAAACTGCATAACAGGCAATAAAGCTCCTTTGCTCATTGAAAGTAGGAATTATTACAAATTGCTGTTGAGTGGTGTGTTTTTATTCCTGCTGCAAATTCTTGGAATGGTTGAAACTCTTTCTTGAATTGGACGTGCTAAGTGTAGCAATGTTGTTGCTGGCTATTAAAGAGCCTGTGATGACTCGGCTGGCAAATTCATCATCCAATGTGGAGCCAAGTCAGAACTCTGTTTTGTTCTCTGTTCTGTGGGGTGTGCCCACCTTTACTTTCCACTGATGCTGCTTGAAAGTGCACGTGTGTGTGTGTATATTGTGTGTGCGCGTGGGCAGGATGGGGCTTGGCTCTGGTGCCCACGCAAGCAAATTGCCTGCTGATATTCAATGTTTGAAGAACAGATTTGGTGAAGTACCATCCAGCACCCACAAAGCTGTAAATCAGCATGAATGAATAGCTCAATAGATTAGGGGTGAAAATTGTAGGTAAAAAAGGAAGTCAGTTATTCTTGCTCTTAAATTGGTTATTCCATTAAAGACTGAGGTGCTGTCAAGCAATACAGTAATACCAATTGCCACATTTATAACTTGTTTCAGAGGTATATTTATCAATGAAAGGGAAGAACAATTTCTCTATATTTGGGAATCTAAAAAGTGATGCTTTAAACAATTTGCATTTATACAGCGCGCTTCACGTGAGTCAGTGTCTAGGAGCGCTTTTCAAATCACGCTTGTTGTGTTAAATGCTTTATTGCAAATATCGAATTGCAAAATTTGCTCGCAGCAAATTCTACAAACATCTCGGGTGGGAATTGGCCTATCTTTTGGTTGCTGGCCCCTTTTCGGACTTTACCTGCTTGACATTTTGCAATTTGGCAACTATGAATTTTGCAATCCAAGATTTGCAAAGTGAGGTCTCTATTGAGGCAGATTTGTAAATATTCTTTTTTAGATCCCTGACGTCTACTGAAACTCAGGAACTTGTGTTCCATGGGATGGTGAGATGTATGTCTTCTGCTG